GAACAACACTCCAACAGACCAATGATACTGTACAAATACAGTGACGGGAAAATGACTCCAAACCTGTTACCTTAATGTCAAGAACAACACTCCAACAGACCAATGATATTGTACAAATACAGTGACGGGAAAATGACTCCAAACTTGTTACCTTAATGACAAGAACAACATTCCAACAGGCCAATGATACTGTACAAACACAGTGACGGGAAAATGATTCCAAACCTGTTACCGCAACAAGAACAACACTTCAACAGACCAATGATACTGTACAAATACAGTGACGGGAAAATGACTCCAAACCTGTAACCTTAATGACAAGAACAACACTCCAACAGGCCAATGATACTGTACAAACACAGTGACGGGAAAATGATTCCAAACCTGTTACCGCAACAAGAACAACACTTCAACAGACCAATGATACTGTACAAACACAGTGACGGGAAAATGACTCCAAACCTGTTACCTTAATGACAAGAACAACACTCCAACAGACCAATGATACTGTACAAACACAGTGACGGGAAAATGACTCCAAACCTGTTACCTTAATGACAAGAACAACACTCCAACAGACCAATGATACTGTACAAATACAGTGACGGGAAAATGACTCCAAACCTGTAACCTTAATGACAAGAACAACACTCCAACAGACCAATGATACTGTATAAACACTGTGACAGAAAAATGACTCCAAATCTGTTACCTTAATGACAAGAACAACACTAAAACAGACCAATGATACTGTACAAATACAGTGACGGGTAAATGACTCCAAACCTGTTACCTTCATGACAAGAACAACACTCCAACAGACCAATGATACTGTACAAATACAGTGACGGGAAAATGACTCCAAACCTGTTACCTTAATGACAAGAAAAACACTCCAACAGACCAATGATACTTTATAAACACAGTGACGGGACAATGACTCCAAATCTGTCCCTTAAATGACTAGGTCTGAAACAAACAGTTATTCTTTACCTAAATGTCATTGATATTGCTGCAATACGAACAATGATAATGAACTTTCAATAGACGCTCATTACTTAAATATTCACAAAGAATTTGATAAATGTCCCATATTATCAATACAAAACAATGAAATGTGAATAGAAAATTGTAAAAATAGTGTGTCTTTGAACTTTACTGATGGGGGATTAGTCTTAGTGACAGTAAAAAGGCTTCGAATGATGAGAGCAGGGGCAGGCGGTTATATAATATGATTACACTCAAATAGAATAATACAATATTGTAAGAGTATATTAAAAATATAACCTGAACTTAATCCTTGAATCCAATGCTATGCTACAAGAGAAAAGCACCTGGTAGCAGTTTCTGGATGGTTTTTATGTGTTTAATTGTATTGATAATATTTATCATTAGTTTATGTTAAACATTACGGTCGGAAAGGAGATGGTTCATAGAACCATGTCTGGAAAAAAAATAAACACAAGATAATTAAGTAAATAAACAAAAAAAGATAAATAAATAAATGAATAAACAGAGAAACGGGAAAACCGAAGAAACAAGTCTAACTTGTAGATCTAGCAACTATCGTTTCAATGTTTGACGGGAGTTACGCACAAGTCATGAAAATGATAATAATTAAAAACTAACATCAATATGTGAATATGGTTTACAATCTCAAATAATCACTTCATAAAAAATAATGCGATTAAAAAGATGTTGAATTTAAATGATGATATCGATAGGACTTTTATGGGCATTTTTCTCTAAAACAAAATGCGTATGAAAACCTCAGGTTTCACTTATCATACAACCCCAAAATATGATATCAACGATGTAATACAAGAAGACACACATATATATAAAACAATTATCACGTGACTTGTCAGAGACATATATAACTCATCGAGAATATAATTCTGTAGATTCTCACTCAGAGCAAGATTTTAAACAATAGATAACACACAACGTAATGCTTTTAACTACCGACGGAATGAGAGATGAAGAGAGACAAAAAGGGACATATAATGACGTACACTTCCAGAGGTTTACCTTCAGTGTCTGTATGTGTATATCCTATTTCATCTGTGTAAGTATATCATAAAATATCGACTCAAAGCTTAAATTACAGGACACAGCAGAGAGGCTTGAAAACATACAAAAATGATTCAAAATTTTGGAGGATATGTTTTCGTTAATTTTGATCTAAAGCTATGGATTCATATTTCTAGAAAATGATCAACAGATGAAACTTGACAGTATCCAAAATTCAAAAGATCGAATTATATTTCACCTAATTACAATTTCTCGATCGGCATTTCAAAGGACATCGAATACAAACGTTTCCTTTTACTTCAAGGATTAACTTTTTCGCGATCACGAGATACTGTACCGCGAAATAGCGAAAATATCATTCTGCGAAAATAACCAGTATAAAACTGTAAAATCATATATTTACGCTGGCCTCTATTTTCGTTGGTTTCGATAAAAAAACTAGTATGTTACCTATTCATTTATCATTTCGGGGACATATGAATTCGAGGAATAAGATTACTCACAAAACCATCGAAAATACGGCATTCGAAAAGAAAATTATAGAGACACTGCAATGGTACCACAAGGTCGTTAATTACTAAAAGGATAAAAGGATGAAAGGGATATTCCATCCAAGCTGCAAACTTTCTGACAATCTTGTCCTTTTTGGAGAACTCATTCTATTGACTTTTAAAACTATTGTTAATATCAAAACATCTCTCCTGTGGTCAGTTTAAACAGGCGGAAGTGTTGGGAATATTTCCCGCCAAATCGATCAAATACAGATAATCAGGAACTCCGGAATTAAAAGGCCTCTGGATCAGAGATTTCATACACACTATTGGGTAGATACACAAGCGTTTATCTTGCTCACTGAAATCTCTGCTGAGGTTGCCATTTTATTTCTGCGTAGGTTTATCTTCTGTTGATTTTATAATTTACTCAAGGTATCTGTTTTGGTCGTAATTCGGGTGGCGCAGTGGTGATGCCTTTGTATTTCACTGCAGCGTCCTGGGTTCAATTTCCGAAAAGGACGTGATAATTGTCACTTCCATCCAGACAAATAATAGTAACTTATATGAGATGGAAACTTGTTTGGCGATTGTTATCAAATAAATTAAGTTTAAAACTACACTAAGTAATCGGAAGTTCTACTTACTAAATTCTGATTATCACAAGGAAATTTTACAGAATAAAAATAACATTGAACTTGATATTATTCAGGTTAATACACAATTTTTTTGTCAAAACTGTATTGATTCAATAGTATGTTGTACTTTGAAATTGATATGAAATAGATATACGCTATTTCTTCATTAGCATAAACTGATTTTAATTAAATACAGCTGGTGTGTCCTGATTTAGTAACTCATGTAATTGTACACTATAAAGGGCAATGACGTCGTCAGAATAAAATTAATAGAAGAAATTGGTTATATTTAATGTGTTTTGAACAAACGTGCATTAGCCTCACAAAGAGTTCTGTATTGGATATGAAAATATTTGACCTGGCAGTCGCCCTGTAAATACATACAATGACTGGCAATCCGTTGTTAACTTATAAGGTGCCCGCCACTTAATTCAAAACAACATATATTTTTCTCTAACTGTTTTCACTGATTACAAAACTGCAGGGATGTGCGAAATATTCATGACATTGAGACATTTAAAAGGATTGGAATTGACAAATTATTTTATTAATAATAGTTTATATTGTATCTTAATAGACATGTTATTCATATGATATCCAGGAGTCACACCAGCTTTTAAAATTCTTGTTTTAACGTTTTTGCCATACCTGACATCTTTTCGCTAATCATACATTTAGAAGCTAGACATGCTTTGGTCAAATACAGTAAAATTGTTTGAAAGTTATCAAATATTTGATAAAGAATACACCAAACTCAATATTTTTCGTCAATTAAAATTTTTTATCTCAAAATGTGACATTGGCGATCGCTGGTATGTACTCTGCTTATCAAAATAGTATATAAACATTCCCAAAAAACATTCAATATGACTGCCCAATTATAAAAACGTGGTGACCCTCAGATTTATACACTGTAAATGATGTCCAGAAGCAAAGAATCAACTGTGTGTGGCCTTCATGTTTTGATAACAATCATTAAGTGAACCTGGTGTGTTTCTGACGTATATGTTCTTGGAGAAAGATATTGGTGAGAATTAGATAAAAACAGTAGTCCTACAAAGCAAGTGTGTGTATATATAAAGACACATGTATCCAGAAGGAGTGTTCAGAATATTTCAAGAACACAAATGTGTAAAAACACCGACAAAATTTTCTCGTTTATAATTGTTGTAACGTTTATGTTTTCAGATTTAATGATTTAGAAAACGATATTTGAATGACATGTGGTTATAATGTCATATACATTGAAATTCACATTATATAATTGGTTTGTGTTCATATTTGCAGGGTTGGATCCTGGCCCTCACGAGCACAGCTTTGTTCGACCTCCAAAAAATAACAAACGTCACGCTCGATGAATCTTCTCTTTATATGACCTTCCTCAGCTTTGGTTTTGTTGTCGGATCATTTATCTATGGATCAGTCAGTACACATGTTGATAAATTCATCATACAGTTTTTGGCCTTGACGTTAGCTGCCGTTTCATTGGTTACCATTTCATTTTGTAACTTACACGTCGCCATGGTAACAATGCACGCAGTTGTTGGATTCTGTATAGGAATAATTGATTCAGGTAAACCGGAAATTATACGAAATATAATAAAGTTATTTTTCATACTGAAATATTCCAATTAAAGTGTCAGTTTTGTAAAGCATATATATTGTTTAAATCATTTATGCATTGAGACAATAGTTAACCTCGAGGTTGAAAAGGAAATGTTTCATCAACCTAAAATAATTTGTTAATATTGGATTATTTTCAAGGTTTGCATACAATTCTATTTGCAAGGATTATGTTCTAATGAAATATATTGATTCCTCAGCTACAAATGCAGAGATGTTAGCCGTCTGGGGCAAAAGTGGACGAAGTTTTATGCAGGCCATGTATTTTAGTGATTCTATTGGTGGAGTTATCGCCCCTGTCGTAACAGCCCAGTTTTTGTCTCCATGGCAGCAAGCAGAGCAGAGCGCATTCAACCATACAACAGTCGATCATAGAAACAATAACCATTCAGAAGGAGCGAACGTTTATGGCGAAAATAGAAATTTTAGCAACCAAGGAGTAACCTTCTTCTCTTCAAGGAACCTTGCCAAAGATAATGAGACGATATCAACACAATATTACATCATATCGCCATTGTTTTATGCTTATATGATACCTGCCATTATTTGTCTGCTGGTAGCGTTGATATATATGATAATGTTTTTATCTTTCAAATATAACATTTACGCTGATCGTGATATAGCGGAAGTGACGTCATCAGGATATATTTCAACAAGTCGAAAAGTTATGATTCTCATTAACATCGGCCTAATGTCAGGTGTATACACTGCTATAGAAGAATCGTTTTCTGGGTTTCTGTCCACATTTTGTATAACCCAGTTTAAGTGGACAACATCAAATTCTTCATATATATTGTGTGCGTTCTACAGCTGTATGGGAATGGGGAGACTCGTAGCTGTGTTCTGGGTATCCTACTTAAATCCTAAGAAAATCTTAGGAGTACTATGCCTACTAGTTTCAGTGATGTTATTGAGTACAACATTGTGTAGTTTACAATCCTCTGATAGCGGTTTATGGCTGTCAGTCGCTTTATTGGGATTTGTCTTTGCCGTGATTTTACCAACAGTATTTACGTGGACAGAGGAAGATTACTTCCCTGTGACTGGACATATATCATCCTACTTAAACATCGCCGCCGACTGTGGAGCCACTGTTAATCCCGTGATCATCGGATCGATGATGGAACATTACTCACCGATGTGGTTCACATACATCCTTTTGATCGAGTCATTTGTATTGTTAACAACATATGTAATCGGAGCATTTCTGTCAAGACAAAAAAGAAAAGCTATAAATGGAAACACTTACCAGTCTATGGATTAGAGGAAACGACATACTATATGTAAAGTGATATGTTTGTAATTTGAACGAATTCGATGCTTTCGCTAAAACAAGGACACCATATTAAGAAAATAAGTATTTACTAATTAAAACATGTGTAAACAAAATGTAATTTCCAAATCAAATCCACAAAAATAATTAAAATTCTGGATAAAATATATGTATATATAATTAATTTTAATACATATATTTCTTAATGCCTTATATAATATTGGCTTAGAAATATGTTGTTCATAAGAAAGGCTATCATACAAATCTTTCTTAAAAAATGAAGGGATTTACCTTCGTTTATAAAAGTCATATTTCTTTCGTATCTATGATATCGTAGGATATGGTACAACCATTAAAGTATATCCACCGAATACAATTTGCTTCACCTTTCGTTGATGCCAGTTTCAATTTCAAGACACGAAAGAAAACACTAACCAGTCTATGGAGTAGAGGAGATGTGGTAATCAAGGTGATATGTACGGCGTTTAACGGATTCGACGTCGATGTTTTCGACAACATACACATACAATATTAAAAAAATAAGCTGATACATCATAAAATACCGGAAAGGAGATGATTCATAGAACCATGTCTTGAAAAAAAGATAAATAAATAAATGAATAAATGGAGAAACGGGAAAACGCAAGAAACAAGTCTATCTTGTAGATCTAGCAACTATCGTTTCAATGTTTGACGGGAGTTACGGACAAGTCATGAAAATGATAATAATTAAAAACTAATATCAATATGTGAATATGGTTTACAATCTCAAATAATCACTTCATAAAAGATAATGCGATGTTGAATTTAAATGATAATATCGATAGGATTTTTCTCGACATTTTTCCTCTACAACAAAATGCGTATGAAACCTCAAATTTCATTTGTTATACAATACCAAGAATCAATATCTATGATGTAATTTATTGAGATACAAATTTGTAACAATTTTCACGTGACTTGTCAGATACATATGTAACTCGTCGAGAATATAATTCTGTAGATTCTCACTCAGAGCAAACAACTGAAAACATACCACGTTATGTCTTTAACTACCGACGGAATGAGAGATGAAGAAAGACAAAAAGGGACAAAGAATGATGTACACTTCCAGAGGTTTACCTACAGTGTCTGTATGTGTATATCCTATTTCATCTGTGTAAGTATATCATAAATATCGACTCAAAGTTAAAATCAGGGACACAGCAGAAACTCTTGATAACATATGATATATACATATTAACATATTACATAACTAATATGGACAAAGTTGAAATAACGGTAGTTGGAAGACCTATCTCTAATCCTGCGTAGCAAGGAGATCTCATGAGCTCCTTGACTTATCAGCGCATTTATAAAACAATGGAACTTGCACCTCCTCAACTAGAATATGACAGTTCTTTCGATGACTTCTTCAGTCACCACCTAGGCATACGCCTCTTAGCTCTAGCATCAGACACGAGTGCTATGTGGAACGAAATAGCGGTTAGTTTTACTATTTGGCTCTACTTTATCTAAGTCCTTTATGTTTTTATCTAAATATGATATTCACGCGTTAGTCGGTGCAACAATTACCGTTAGGACAATATTTGTACCAAAAATATTTGATAAAGATATAGTAAGGTGTATGGTATCTGTTTTGGTCGTAATCGGAAATTCGGGAGGCGCCGTGGTAATACCTTGGTATTTCACCTCAGCGCTCGGGGTTCGATTTCCGGAAAGGACGTGAAAATGGCCTCTTCTATCCAGGTAAACAGTAGTAACTTATATGAGATGGAAACTTGTTTGGCGATTGTTATCAAATAAATTAAGTTTAAAACTACACTAAGTAATCAGAAGTTCTACTTACTAAATTCTGATTATCACAAGGAAATTTTACAGAATAAAAATAACATTGAACTTGATATTATTCAGGTTAATACTCAAATTTTTTTGTCAAAACTGTATTGATTCAATAGTATGTTGTACTTTGAAATTGATATGAAATAGATATACGCTATTTCTTCATTAGCATAAACTGATTTTAATTAAACACAGCTGGTGTGTCCTGTTTTAGAAACTCGGGTAACTGTACACTATAAAGGGCAATGACGTCGTCAGAATATTAAAAACAGAAAAATAACGCAATAAAATTGATGGCAGAAATTGTTTATATTGATCGTGTTTAGAAGAAACGTGTATTAGCCTCACAAAGCGTGGCAATTCTATATTGGATACGAGACTATTTGATCTGGCGGTCACCTTGTAAATACAGAGAGTGGCTGGCAAACTCTTCCTAAAATTATTAAATATGGGATTATGAAGACACCAAGCTCAATATTTTTTCGTCAATCAAATTTTTTTTTATCTCAAATGTGACATTGGCGATCGCATGTATGAACTCTGCTTATCAAGATATTATATGTCATTCCCCAATTTAAAGAAAATTCTAAATTGGGCGGATACATAACTGGTAATTTTCAATCCCACAAAAACAAAAGCATTACTTATTTCTGATTTTGAACTTGAGTATGTTATTGACTTGGAATTTAATAATGTAAGTGCTGATTTCGTTGACAGTCATAAACACGTGGGAGTAACCTTGGATGAAAATTGTAAGTGGAGTACTCACATTGAAAATATCCCGAAAAAACATCAAAACAATTGGGTGTCTTACGTAAATTGAAATATATATTAAATAGGAAAACTTTAAGTAAAAGAAAAAGTTCAGATCATATATTCTGCCTATACTAGAATACTGTTGTGAGGTATGGGATGGGTGTACTCTCGATGACGCAGTCAAATTAGAAAAACTTCAGCTAGAGGCTGTGATGATCATTACTGGTTTGCCTTCTTACTCTAGTAGAATTCTTTGTATCTTGGATCTGGCTTTGAATCTCTATCCGAACGAAGAACTAGACGGAAATTACAATTATTCTATCAAATTCATAATAAGCTTACATCTAATTATCTTCCTTCTCTACTTCCCCCGTCTGTATCAGATGCTTCCCGATATAATCTCCGATTTTCCGAAAATTCTTCTTTGCCCATTTATCGACTTCAGTCAACAGCATTGTCTTTTTCCCTTCTACAGTCCGACTCTGGAATCATTTAAATCTCGTTATTAAACACGGTGTATCATATACAGTTTTTAAAAATAATCTTCGTAGGCAAAATGCAGTACAAGTCCACATGCATTATCTAATTGGTGGCCGAAAAAGTAATATCTTACATACCAGACTGAGAAATAACTCTAGCACACTACACGATCACTAATTCCATGCCAATTTAATAGATTTTCGTCACTTCCAATGTGAACATCCGATTGAAGATACATTTCACTTCTTCCTTTTCTGCAATAATTATTCGGGTCAGAGAATTACTCTCTACCGCGAACGAAATTATTTTATTCCACTTGACCTGCAGCTTTTACTACATGGTAATACTGAATTTCAAAGTTCAAGAAAACGTGTTAAAAGCAACAAAAACGCAACAATTTATTGTAGAAACAAATAGATTCTGAATATTGTTTTGCTTGCACTCCCTTTCTGTCCTAATTAATCCCCTACTTCTATATCTATATTGCCACATTCTCTCTATCAAGTTCAGTTGAAAACTGTTTTAAGTAAGTATAAAAGTCTAAATTTTGCATTAAGTAACGATCCTTCCGATGCCGACGGCACAAGAGAAACTTATTTCCAAGAACGAACTGAGTAAAAAGTAGAACAAAAATCAAAGCACAGGATGTGAGGAACAATAGATAAGTCGAAAGTTTTTGAAAAGTGTGTAGTGTCAATTTCTACCGTCGGTGTCGGAGGGGGACTCTCCTCATTGTAAGTATAAGTATGTATATTTGTATATGTTAAAAATTAGTTATGTATGTATTCAATTACCAACCCCTTTCTCTGTCTATCCATATAAATATATAGACACATGTTTCCGGAAAGAGTGTTCATATTATTTTAAGAACAGAAATGTGTTAAAACACAGACAAAATGTTCTCATCCATAATTGTTGTAACGTTTATATGTTTTAAAATTAAGAATGCTTTAGACAACGAGATGTGATTGACATGTGGTTGTAATGTCATATATATTGAAATTCACATTATATAATTGGTTTGTGTTCATATTTGCAGGGTTGGATCTTCGCCCTATCGAGTACAGCTTTGTTCGACCTCCAGAAAATAACAAACGTCACGCTCGATGAATCTTCTCTTTGTATGACCTTCCTCAGCTTTGGTTTTGTTGTCGGATCATTTATCTATGGATCAGTCAATACACATGTTGACAAATTCATCATACAGTTTTTGGCCTTGACGTTAGCTGCCGTTTCATTGGTTACCATTTCATTTTGTAACTTACACGTCGCCATGGTAACAATGCACGCAGTTGTTGGATTCTGTATAGGAATAATTGATTCAGGTAAACCGGAAATTATACGAAACATAATAAAGCTATTTTTCATACTGAAATATTCCAATTAAAGTGTCAGTTTTGTAAAGCATGATTATTTTCAAGGTTTGCAGACAATTGTATTTGCAATGATAACGTTCTAATGAAATATATTTATTACGCAGCTACAAATGCAGAGATGTTAGCCGTCTGGGGCAAAAGTGGACGAAGTTTTATGCAGGCCATGTATTTCAGTGATTCTATTGGTGGAGTTATCGCCCCTGTCGTAACAGCCCAGTTTTTGTCTCCATGGCAGCAAGCTGAGCAGAGCACATTCAACCATACAACAGTCGATCATAGAAACAATAACCATTCAGAAGGAGCGGACGTTTATGGCGAAAACAGAAATTTTAGCAACCAAGGAGTAACCTTCTTCTCTTCAAGGAACCTTACCAAAGATAATGAGACGATATCAACACAATATTACATCATATCGCCATTGTTTTATGCTTATATGATACCTGCCATTATTTGCCTGCTGGTAGCGTTGATGTATATGATGATGTTTTCATCATTCAAATGTAACATTTACGCTGATCGTGATATAGCGGAAGTGAC